GGTAGTGAGTAAAATACTAAACACTATGCAGTAGACTATAAAACATATTTACAAAGCACAAGTACTGATAGAGGACAATACTACATATGCATTTCTTCTTTTTGGGCAAAGAAGTAAAGGAATGAAGATATGTCAGATTTACTACATTGCATAATATAATATTTTTTGTGACATTTTCATTTTTTCAATTGAAGTTTTTTCCTGGAATTGTGAAAAAATGACTTCTGAATTTTGTTTCTTTATTATAGGATGCACAGACTTGTAGAACATTAACTCTTATATCAAAAGCCATCCAGACTTTGGGGAGTTGGGGAAGTTTGACCAAAAGCAAACTTGTAAGGCTGCTAAAATTATTTCTTATTTCATAGACAACATTCTTTGGAAGTTATATACCTTATATAATATAATATACTTTATATAATATAATATACCTTGTTTTTCAGTCAAGTTTCAAGGAGACGTTTATGTGCGAGTTTTTCAAAACTTTTCAAGAAGAAAAATTTACTGAATCTGTTAAAAAGGTACCTTGCAACTAGATTTTTTTAATGGTTAATGTATCTGATCAGTCTTAAGTATTAGAAAGTTGTGCTATTGTTCAGTTTTCTACTAGAGAGGAAAAAAGAAAAATTGTGGTCTGTTTCAGATGTTGTGGTTTTTTTTAAAGTATGAACAACAAACAAAACTAAATTTCTACACAATGGAACACAGCAGTTTTTTATAGTGGACTAAGCTCATTTAGTTAAAAAAAGTATACATTTTTTGAAACAGACTTTATTAGCTGTGCTGGCTAGAAGCTAATTATATAAGCATTTTGTTGCATATGGGTTTCCTTTGTTACATTGTTCCAAGTCCCTGCAACATATTTTCATTTCATCTGTTGCATAAAGTGATTGTTTTGTTTCTGGAGAAACTGTATCTATATATCTTAAAAATAGCTTTTGGTTTTGCTGTGCTTATGAGTAGTATATATTAATTGTGTGTTTTTTCTTAAGTTCCTAGATGATGTTTCCTCTACTGAAAGTAAAGAACCCAGTGGTATGAGTGAGCCAGTACATCTAAAAGAAGGGTAAATACATCTTTAACCTGTATTATGCAAAACAGAATTGACTTGACTGTTTTTTTCATTAATGCCAAGGTCAGGTGAATCCTCATTAAAATGTTTGATATACTGTAGAAATCATTAAATTTTAGTTTGCGATAATTCTTTGTTAGTTTGCAGAAACAGTTAAACCAACAGCTGTAAAATTTTGTAACTTATCTTTTAAACACTTTCGAAAACGTAATTAAAAGCAGCTTAAAACCTATCGAAGCCTGTCTGTCTTTCTGATAAAACTATGCTCTCTGCAATGGTTTATTCAGAATTGTGCAAGTGTTTTTTAAAAGAACTCATTAATTTAATTTAGAGTTGCTTTGCACGCTGTTTAAGCCCAGGTAGTTAAATACTCTGCCTTTAAAGTAAGGGAAAAATTACTCTGTAATTGGAATATTTAACAGTAAATGAAAGAATGCATTTTTAAAAATTGAGGTGAAAATTACTCTTAAGAAATGAATTTTCTTTTTTTTTAATTGATCAAGAATAGGTCATGAAGTAATTAAAACTACATTTATGGTGGAAAAATATGTATTTACCTGAGAAGCAGATTCATAGCAACTAAAGATACTTCTGTGAAACAAGCATCCATATTTCAAACAAGGAAGAAAAGTAGCTTATATTAAATAGAGATGAAGGTGACAATTGTGGTGGAGCAACAGTCAGTTATAGTAATTTGGAAGCTAATCTGTATTATAAATTGATGTTGCTCAAAAAAATAGTTTCCAGTGAGTGCACTTAGTGTTCTGAATACAGTTTGTCTACCCTTGTTGTTGAGTCCTGTTCAGCATCATTTATATTCTGATTCAGATAAGGGCAAGAACATGCACTTGTAGAAAGTGGCAGGAAAGAGAATCTTGTAGTTGGAGACACATTACTCTCTTCTGGGAAAGTTTTGAGTTCTGGACCTGAATAAGTACTGCTCAAATTTGCTGCTACAAACAAGAGTCTGGACTGAATGTTTTCCAAACTCTTTCCTGTGCATGGAACCCTGTGCACAACCACCGTATTGGGAGGTGATCTTGGGGATCTATTTTGAACAACTAGTAGATTACTTTTTTTAATTTCTAGTGAAGTAATTTTTTATGTTGTCTTAATAAACAGTTTTGAAAGCTCCTCAGAAGACTAATGATGCACTTCATTTGATTCTGTCTTTGCAGAGAAATGTACAAAAGAGCTCAGGGAAGGACTCGGATTGGTAAAAAGAATTTTAAGAAACGATGGTTCTGTCTAACAAGTAGAGAATTCACCTACCACAAACAGCAAGGTGTTTTACAATCCCTTTCATTTTCTCAGTTTGCTAAGAGTTTGCATCTGATTTAGGCTGTTTTTTAATACATAATTTTATTTTCCCAAAGTTCATATGATACGTTTTAATTACTTTTGCCTTGATCACCAAATGCTTTTTTCTGATTCAGGTACATTTTCTCCATTAAAAAAATGCAAATTTTAGAGAACTTAACCTACAGTATCCATGCACTGAGGCTATAAAACAGTTGGTTTTAAATCACTCATCCCTTTACAATTTTTTACAGATAAAGAACCAATTTTCACTATTCCAATCAAAAACATCCTTGCAGTGGAGAAACTTGATGAGAACTCCTTTAATAAAAAAAATGTAAGTCAAAAGATATTTTATTTAAAAAAAAAATCAATAATATAAATTATTACAATTAGCTTATAGAGCTATTGATTACCTGTTACTAAACACTTGAGCAAAAAATCTATTTTGTATCAGGAATAAAAATCTGTATGCATTATTTCCAAGTACTCTGAACATGTAACTTAACCTGGAATTTTGGATCTCTGCATCAACATTTCTGACTGATTTTCTGACTTCTGTCCCCCTTCCCATATTTATGGAACGAAGGTTAAAACAGTACAAAGCACTTCTACTAGCAATGCAACATTACCAAACTTTGTCATTTTTATGAGAACTTTCTACAATACTTTCATCAGCTGAGACCCTTGTTGTCTGTGCTCACTGCCTCATTCTGAACCTGTGGCACATTGGTACTTGTGTTATTTCAGTCAAATGTTCTGGAGCAGTGATAAAAGCTCAGCTGTTAGGCTGAGGATGGCTAAAGGATATGAAGCCTGAAGTCTGAGGTTGCACCCAAAGATACGTGAATGAAGAGGACAGAAAATGCCTCATGTTACAATTCTTTAAACAATTCTTTAAGGATTCTTTTTTGGATGAGGAAATGGTATAGGTGGAACACAGGGAGCTGTTATGGTTTCTTTTTTCTTCTAAATAGGGCTGTGTAGTAAAACGAGAGGTGAAAAGTCATTTTTTCTCCCTTGTCTCACTTTGTCTTAATTTGGCTTTGAGTTGCTTGAGCTTTGAAATCTGTTGTGATATATTCAGAGTTGTGCAATAACTGGATTTTTTTCTTCAACTGAGCAGAGTAATGTTGCCTTCCTTATACAGATGTTTCAAGTACTACATGGAGAAAAACCACTCTATATCCAAGCAAATAACTGTGTAGAAGCCAGTGAGTGGATAGAAGCTCTTTGCCGGGTAACGAGATCCAACCAGAAGAGGCTGAGTTTTTACCACCCTTCTGCTTTTCTGAACGGGAGCTGGTTGTGCTGCAAGGCCACCACAGAGAACACAGTGGGCTGTGCTCGCTGCACCGCGTAAGTTGCTCCTCACCTGAAAAGATATGTTTTGTAGGAGCAATAATATATGATTCACTATACAACTTGATGATTTGAAACCAAGGCTTTCCTTGTCTACTTTAGCAAGTTACACTACTAAAAATATGGCTTACTAATAAGGCCTGAAGTACTGGATTTTGCCAAGTCTAGTACTTTGTCTGCCACCATATGAAATGAAGATAACCAGTTCTGCATGTGAGTCAGAAATATGGAATAGTTGATTTATTTCCATACAGAATAATAGCTCATGTTTATTCAGATTGCAAGCTGAATGCAGAAATTTGACTTGTCTAAGTCATCTATATGAAATAATTTAAGCACCTTGCTGCAGAATGCTCAGCCTATATAGTCTTGCTCAGTCTATAATAGTCTTTCCCTAATCACATTGTCTTGTTTTATACAGTCACTTTTTAAAATTTAAACTCATGTTTTAAAAAACTGTATGAAGAAAATTGGCTAAATTATAGATGTAGATTCTGACAATTATTTTTTAAGTATATCAGGAAAATGAGTAATAAAATGCATTAGTGCCTTTTTTAAGCTGCTGATATCTGAGAACAGAAAAATGCTCTGATCTTTTTTAAAGATAAATTTATCCCTAACTGTATAGTTGCATAGATTACAGACTGAAGATCTTAGTATTTTAAAATTCAGTGTAAGTCCTAGAAGATAACTTTCTGAAAATACATGTAATACTTTTTCTGTGTTGCTTAGTACATTCCTATATTAGCCTTCTCAACGGTTCAGAAGATTCCAGTTGCTAAGTAACTTGTGGTTGGTTTTGCCTTCCTGTTTTTTTTAACTGTTCTGTTTTAGGAATGTATCTTGTCCTTTTCTTCTGGTTGCCTTTCAAGTATAGTAGATTTTAAAATAAGTGTTTAGTTGTCATTTAATAACAGTCAGCCTTCGATATCTTAAATATTTTTCTCTTGATGTAATGAACAATAAATTCTATTGGAAAAGGCAATTTTTAGTGTTGCTGTATTCATTGTCCTCAGAAAAATATATTCCGGTTTCTGTAGAACACTGGGAAGTTCTGTGTACCAATTGCAAGGCTGTCAATGAATGGTAGACATATCAAAAGGCTAAGTATATTGAAACAGAACCAGTTTTTACATGCTTTCAAACTTTTCAAGAATTATTTATATTGACTTCCTGTCTCTTATTTTCACC